ATTTTATCTTGTAATTTGTATATTAAAAAATTATAGAAATTATATATTACTCCCTCCGTCCACCAAAGATCTTCTCATTACCTTTTTTAACAATTAAAATACTACAACTACCCCCACTTACTTTATTTATTACACCTTACTCACTTCATTTAATACACTCCACCTATTTTCATTAAGGGTATTATGGTAAACTTTTACCTTTTTTCAACTCTCCTTAAAAACTACAAAAAGTCAAAACGAGAAAATCTTAGAAGGACGGAGGGAGTAATAATCTATATGTTAAGACAAATCAAACAAGATCACACATGACTATATTTAGACTTACACATTGAGAGAATTTGATGAGTCAAAATGCTTAGATGAACAGTTCAAAAAGTCAAAACTGGACGAATACTCCGAGACGGAGGGAGTAGTTGATTTCCAATTTTGCCCCTGGTGTGATGGGTAAAAGTAAGATGTGATGGATAGATTATTAAAGAAAAAGTATGATGTGATAGGTGGGGTATGAAAAAGTAAAGGTAAAAGTGGTTTTTTAATAGAAAGAGGAAGTGTTTTGTTGGAACTGGAAAAAATGAAATAAGAAGTGTTTTGAGAACGGAGGGAGTATATATTAAGAAACTAAGGGGGTGTATTCAACCCGGAGTCTATAGGATTTTTTTGGATTTTTAAAATCTGAGTGTATTCAATTTAGATTTTCAAAAGTCTTTAAAAATCTTGAGGTATTCAATAGTGATTTTCCAAAGTCTTTAAAAATATTGAAGTATTCAACTTAGATTTTCAAAAGTCTTTAAAAATTTTGAGATATTCAAGAATCTATGAAATTTAATAGTCCATGGATTTTGTTGGATTTTCTATCAAAAAATGCTTACATTTTCACTCATGGAAATCTCTCCTCCTAACCCTAGATTTCTATGGATTTTCATCCATTCTTCGAGGGGCGTATTTAATTAGGATTTTATTAGATTTTTTTAGATTTCAATGGATTTGAAAAATCTGTAGAATCCATGTAGAGTTTGGTGGATTTTTTGTAGAATCTATGTAGAGTTTGAAAAATTTGCAGAATACATGTAGAATTTAAAAAGTATGTAAAATCTCACCCCCACCCACCCAGAGACACAACGCAGGAGGAGTAGGTGAATAGTCATCACATAGCAGGAGCCGCATAGAATGGAGAAGAGAATAGATATGAAAAAATAAAAATGGAAGAAAAAAAGAAGAAGAAAAGAAAAAGAAAAAGAAACAGAAAGACATTAGGAGCCGCAGAGAATGGAGAAGAGAATAGATTCTGTCACATTGTCTTTGTCCACTTTTGACTTTTAGAACTGTTTATCTAAGCACTTTGACTCATCAAATTCTCTCAATGTGTAAGCCTAAAAATAGTCATGTGTGATCTTGTTTGATTCGTCTTAACATATAGATTATTAATATATAATTTTTATAATTTTTTAATATACAAATTACAAGATAAAATGGATTAAAATAGTGCATTGGATGGTGTGCCAAAAGGTAAGTGGACAAATACAGTGACGGAGTGAGTATGAAACAATAAAAATGGAAGAGGAAAAAAAAGAAGAAAAGAAAAAGAAACAAAAAAGAAAGACATGTTGAATGTGGTCTGTGGTAAGGTTGTTGGGATAGTAGGATGCCATCATATGTTGCCGGAAACACCTTAGCTTCTTTCAATAGGAAACAAATTGAACAAGGCCGGACACCGGTAGATGAGTCAAAAATATAATTCTACAAATTAAAATAAGAGGTGACAAGAATATTTTATTTTATCAAAAATACTTAATGAAATCACGTAAACAAACAAAAGTTATCGAGAGAAGAGAGAACAAAAAATCGTAATCAAATTGGAGACAGAGAGAGCATTCGGTTATATTTATGTACTCCTGGAAAATGGACCTAAAGTCCACCATGGACCTACATATATGCAAAATAAACATTTCTTTACTACTTAAATAAACATTTATTTTTTAAAATAAAAAAATAAAAAAAAGTTTTTTTTATATGAGAAGCTCCACAAAATTGATATGCACCCAAGATGCACCAAAGAAGCACTCATGTACTCCCTCTGCCTTAACTTATATTGCATGTTTTCCTTTTTCGTCCGTCCCAAAATAAAACACATATTTTCTTATTTGGCACGGTTATTTTTGTGTACTTTCAAAATGAGAAATGATTGGTTCACAAACACAATCATCACAAACTTCACAAACTTACTATTTGTGAATTTCTAGAAAAAAAAATTGAATACTCTAAAATAATTTTAAAATGAGAATTTAAACCATAAATAGTAAGTTTGTGGAGTTTGTGACCAACCTGTTTGTGAACGTAGCATTGTGCTTCCAAAATTCCCTTCACTCTAATTACTCTCCAACCCACCGTTTCAATTCCCATTTACGATCTTATGTTCTCTTCTTCGTTCTGTGCCAGACGTTCTCCTCATTGTTCCCCGTTGTTGGAATAATGTAATAAGTTTTACTCAGGGAATAATAGTGTGTACAAGAGGGTATATATAAGAAGAGATCCTGACATAATTAGGACTCTATCTATTATAGAAACGTAACTGACAAGTACTTGGTATATGAATCCTTTATCCTTTATATATAAAAAAATGAGAACTTGGTCTCTAAAAACTTGACATTTGGCATGGTTATGTGGCCTTTTTTAACACTAACATGCCACCCAAATTTTTATATGAAATTTAAAGTGGATAAGAAATATTTGAGTAAACTTAAAAATGGATAAAAGCTTTCTTTTTATGTTAATATATTGTCTGAATTCTATACTTTTTTATCTTCATTTATTGCAAAACATTTTAATATTAAAAAATATACTTTTTCACCTAAAATTTTATATTTTTTATGATATGTTTAAATAAATGAGGTTAGTTTGATAATATTTATTTAAATATTGACACGTAATAAATGAAATATTTCGTCGCCTATAAAAAATTGTATTTGTTTTGACACCTAATATTCCACATAATTTAGGTCGTATCAAATGTGAAAATAATTTTATGGTATGAAATATTTGAATAAATTTAATTATGAAAGAAAAAATTCATTCTTTGTGATAGTTTTCTTTCCCAATTTAATATTTTCTACTCTCTTTTTTTATAATTAAACTTTTAATAGATTTTAAAACTACATTAAAATATATTTTCTTAAAAATTACATAAAAGACATTAAAAAAAAGAGTAAATTGAACTATAATTGTGTTAAAATACAAAACAAATATCATACATAACTCCATAGTTAGAATGTATTTATTTTATGATTGGATTTTATTACTAGAGAAATTATGTTTATTGTTCTTAGATGATTTATGATATAAATTTAAAAAATATATTATGTTTAATTTTCTTCTATGATATGATAGTTTTAATTAAATTATGTAATAAAATTGATCAAAAAAATGGGTCACCATGAAATGCTATATTCACGCTAACTTTCTTTACAATTTCAACATCATTGATTAAATTTAATTATAAAATATAAAAGAGATTATCGTTTTTTAAAAATATAATTTTCTAATTTTATAGTCTCGCTCGCTTCATTGATAATAAAGGTATAAATGAATAAATAAGATTTACTTATTTAAAAGGAGATAAATTCTTAACGTCTAAAAAATTTCATTTTTCTTTATGACATGCTTTAAATCTCTACTTCCAAGTAGGGCACACCATCCCTAGATCTTACTTTCGTGAAATTCAACATGATTGTTGTTGTTGTACACGTTTTAAAGTTTAGATACAATTAATTTTTATTCTATTTATTTAAATATTGATGTAAAATAAAAAATATATTTAATCTCTACACTAAAATATTATTTTCTTAAATGATCAAATATTTAAACCAAATAAATTAAAAAAATACTTTCATGGGCTTGAATAATTTTGTATTCAGAAGGAAAAAACTATAAAATGTGTTTGTAAATTTCTATTCAGAATTATAGAATCACTAATGTTTTTAAATATTTATTTTTTTTGAATATATGTGGGGGAGAAGAATCATTAGATTTTTATTATTTTTTAAATTAACTTTTTTGGGGCAAGAGATTGCTAATCTAGGTTTTTATTTTTGAATTAATTAAGTGGGGAGAGAAAGAAATAAATCATATTATTCTAAGGTAAAAACACCAAAATAGGAATAAAATATTGAGAACACACCAAAAGAAAAATTCCATATTTTTTATCTTTAAAATAGAAGTTACAATGCATATATTGTTAATATACAATGCCAAAAAATATTGTGAAATGATAATATACTGTATCATAATGTTATAGAGTAAACTCTGATTTTGGGATTAAAAATATGAAAATTTTATTTTGGAGATAAAATTATGTTTTATTCTTATTTGGGATAAGTTTTTTTCAAAAATCAATGCGAGGGAAGAGATCATAAGGGGGAGATGAATACGGAGTAATATTTATTTTGCGAATCCAAATTAATGCGGGATAAAAGAATTATAAAGTAAGTAAAAGAGTTTTTAAATTAGTGCAGAAGAAAACAATCAAAGGAACACAAATATTTATTATTATTATTATTATTATTATTATTATTGAGTTTTATTTAATTTGAGAAGAAAATAATCATATTTTTAAAATCAATACGAGTAAGGAGAATCATATCAATGAGTTTATGCATGAGATCAAATGTTTGATATTTGAAAATTACAAAATTGTTTTGAATAATGTTGTACCAATTATGTTTATTTATGAACATTTATCTAACATTTGAATTGTTGAATAGTATAAGGTTAATCATTGAAGAGTTATACTTCCTACGTCCTGTTTTATATCATCCGATTTGACTTTGAGGCATAAATAAAGATAATAAAAAATAGCATTGACTATCCTAAAATACCGTCACAATCAAAATTTTTAGCGATTACCCTCCTGATTCCATATCTAGAACAAACATACATAACACACTCACAAATAATCAAACGTCTATGAAATCAAATACCACACACATTTAACTACATCCAAGTATCAACCATTAAATTAAATCACCCTAAATTATATCCAAACACCAAATTACATCAACATTGACAGTAGAAGTGCAACATCCAAGACTTGAAATTTCATCATACACTTCATACATCTGGATTGGAATCAATACAAAATAAAAAATTGGAAAAATTCACACCATAACTCCCACAATTACACAATTTTATATAAATACTCCGAAATTTAATTAATGACGTCAATACTCCCAAAATTTTCATATGTTTACATCGCTGCTCTAAGAATTCATTAATGTTTATATCTATGCTCCAAATGTTGGGGCACCGATGCAAACATATTTTAATGTTGGAGTATTGATGTAAACATACGAAAATTCTGGGAGCATGTGTGTCATTTATTAAATCTCAGAGTATTTATGTAAAACTATGCAATTTTGGGAGTAATGATTTGAATTTTTCCTAAAAAATTTGGGAAGCAACTCAGTAGAATTGCAACATTTCGATATGAACACGAGCTTAAAAGGTTCTTCCCATAACTTTTCAAGATCTGAAAAACAAAAAAACCACGAACTAACATACAAAAATAAAAAAAAAATTGGAGAAAATAGAAGTTATGGAGTATGTTAAAGAACATGGAGTACCTGAAAATATACATAGACAAAAATTGAAATCAAAACAAATCTTAAATAGTGAGAAAATCGTAGACTTGGAACCATCACAAGATAGAAAAATGGATTCAAGAGAACCTAACTGTCGTTGCACCTTTGTCATCTCTATCTTCCAGGACTCGGTCAACGACACTAGAGGAATTAGTCATTGACGCTGCACCTTTAGCCATCCTGGTCGCTGCCACAATGGAGAAAGTCCTGGTCATCGTCGTTGCTTTATTCGTCATTTGAGTAGATTCCGCCCTCTCTCTTGGCCTCTTGGCGGTGAAGGAGCACAATGAATGAGTGGCCACTAATAACTAATGAGAAGATAGAGTGGGTAGAATAGGTGGAAAAGGTGGGTAGATAAGATACATAGTAAATTATTTGATGGGGTAGTATACACATTTTATCTCCAAAAGAAATAGACAACTTATTTTAGGACGGACGAAAATGAAAACCAAGCAATTTAAATTTGGACGGAGTAAAAATTATCTTCAACGCAATTGTAGTATCACATAACAAAGTCAGAGAGGAGGTTTACATGTACAAAATGAATTATGTATCATTTCAAACATGATTACTACCCTTGAAGTTTCAAAGGATACAATTTCTAATAATTTATATTTTGTTATGACTAAACAAAAATTAAGGTCATACATTGTCATTTATAAAATTATTTTTTTTCCTAAGTCGATATTCACTTATGGTTAATTTTATATTGTTATTTCACGAGTGAGAGTAAAGGTAAGGTTGAAAATATTAGGTTTATATGTCTTTGGTAGTCTTTACAACATCACAAAAAAATGTTGTATACCTTAAAATTTTTCAATACTTTATAATTTTTAGATTGATCGCTTTCAACAAATTACAAAAATATGGTGGACAAACGGGTAACAAGATGCGCTGTAATGTGCTTTCAAATATCAAACCCGATATTTCTAAAAACAAAATTATGAGCCTTAGGGTTCTAGATATTACTATGCAAGACCCACTGGACCCTTTTAAGAAATTCCACAACTGTTTGGGCAAGGGAACCAATAAGAAGAGACACGTCTGTAAGGTCCACACATCCGTGTTTCCCCCAGCCCATCCAAACACAAGAATATTAGCTAGCCGTAGAGTACATCTCTCTTCAAGTAGATTCGTCAAAAGTTCACATATTAGAGCCTTCTTCTTGGACAAAATTCTCTATTCGCTTTAGAACATCACTGACAAAACAATGTACTCAGGTAACTTTTTGCAACGATCACAGGCTCACCGACCAAAAGTATCTAAACAAACCTTGTGGCAATCTTGGCAAGAATAATCAACTAGAAACAGAGGAATTAATAATTAGTACTTAATTAAGAATTTTCAAATGTATATAGTCGAATTTTCAGTAGCAAATGTTATACTCCGTATGTTTTATCATTATTTTAACTTTTACGATCGACATTTTAATCTGTTCGATTTATGAGAAACGTTGTAGCGAAGAAAAATTACAAGATAAAAAAATCCACCCCGTGCATGGCACGTGGTTAAAATACTACTCAACTTGCTCCGTCCTATAATGTTCTTCCCGATTCTGTTTACAAAGTTTGACCGACTTTATTTTCAATTCAATTTATTTGATTTTAGGTGTAAAATTAAAAAATAAAACTGCATCAAAAGTTCTACAAAACAAGTGGTGACAAGACTATATTATTTTATCAAATACCTAATAAAAATAGGTAAAGAAAGTGGTTAAAGTTTGACTGTGTGAAAAGTAAGTAGGAAGAACATTTTAGGGCGGAAGGAGTAGTATATAAAAAATGAGAATTGAGTCTCTAAGAACTTGACATATGACATGCTTATGTGGCCTTTTTTAAACACTCAACATGCCACCTACTTTTTTATATGGAAAATATGAAATTTAAAATTGAATAAGAAATAGAGGAGTTTACTTAAATAACACTAAAATATAATGACTTTTTCTAAATATCACCACATGTAATTTTCTTTCCAATGTAACACTTTTAGTCATTGTGCATTAGTCATTATCTAAGTAAATTTTCGCCATCACAAGACATTATGGACATTATTAAGTGTTATTTAGAGAATAAAACAATTTAAGTTCTATTTAGGGAAATGACTTAAGTTTTAGTACTATTTAGTGTAAATATTTCTAAGAAATATTTAAGTAAACTTAAAAAAGGAAAAATATCTTTTTTTTATGATAATATGATGTCCTAATTCTATACTTTTTTCTCTTCATTTATTACAAAACATTTTAATAATTTAAAAAATATACTCTCTTCACCTATAAATAAATTTTATATTTGTTTTTGATACGTTTAAATAAATGAAGTTTGATAATATTTATTTAAATATTGACATCCTTATAAATAAAGTATTTCGTCACCTATAAAAAAATTTGCATTTGTTTTGACACCAAATATTCCACCTAATTTAGGACGTATAAAATGTGAAATTAATATTATGGTATGAAATCTTTGAATAAATTTAACTATGAAAGAGAAAAGTTAGTTTTTTATGATAGTATTCTTTCCCAATTCAATATTTTTATACTCTCTTCATTTATAATTAAATTTTTAATTAATTTTAAAACTACGTTAAAATATATTTCCTTAAAATTTACATTAAAAAACTTAAAAACAAGAGATGATTGAACTAAAACTGTGTTAAAATAAAAATTAAAAATATAATAAATTCCATAAATGATCCTTTGTTATATGCACATTTCCATATGGGCAATGCTAGGGGTACACTAACATGGGGTACCTCAAGTGTACACCAAGCCAACACAGACACCAAATGTCTGTGCAACACAGACACTTTGTGTTTGTGTGTGTCTGTGTTGGCTTGGTGTACATTTGGGGTACCCCATGTTGGTGTACCCCTAGCTTAATTCTTTCCATATTTAGTCCCTAGCTAATTATAAGATATTCCATTAACAGTCTTCAATTTTTGAAAACTATTTCGCAAATAGTCATTTTCACCAAATATGACAAAATATTTTGAATAAATTTTCAAAATGGTCCTTTCTAATAAGGTTATTTTCCAAAAATAATCCTCAATAAGAAAAATTTACTAACATGATCATTTATAACTGAGATGTGTTTCTTAAATAGTTTTTTTATAAAAAAATGTCTATTAAATGACAGATATACATAACAAAGGGTACTTTGATGCTCTTTATCAACTAAACTATATATATAAGTTCTCAAAATGATTTTTCTAAAGAGCATCAAAATATCCTCTATTTAACTACTCCCTCCGTCCTATAATGATCTTCCCGGTTCGCAAAACGAAGAAAAATCCCAAGTTTTTTCAATCTATTTTATTTAAATATTGGTATAGAAATAAAAAATAAAACATACATATTTAAAAACTACACCAAAAGTTCAACAAAACAAGTGGTGACAAGAATATTTTATTTTATCATATAGGCCATGAAAAAACACAAATAAATATAAATTCCCGTGAAGTTGGAATAATGCTCTGGGAAGATCATTATAGGACGGAGGGAGTATCATTTAATAGACATTTTTGGTAAATGACTATTTAAGAAACAATAAAGGACCATGTTACTAATTTTAAACAACATGGTACTGAATAACTTTAGTTCTAAAATTAATGTGTTTGAATAATAATAGTATGATACGTGTTCTATGAAAATACTAGATTATCACGGACTGCACTCACTCGTATACAATAGTTTTTTTATTTATAAATTTATATTGAGATGATTAGTCAATAAAAAGGTACAAGAGAAGTTATACCATAGTTCAACTATTGGTAGGGGTGAACTCTCTAACTAGGAGAAAAAAAATATTGAAAACTATTCCTTTGGTCTCACCCCAAAAGCAAATATTGCCATTTTAGTTGTCCCATGCAAAAGGCACGCGACATAACTAATTTATTTTTTCAATCACTTTTACATTATCTTTTTTATGGAGTATTCTTTCAATCAGGCACTCAATCTTACGTTTGTAATCACTTTTACATTTTCTTTCTTATTTCAACCTATCCACCCCTATATTTTCAATCACTTCTAAATTTAACGTTAATCTTCTCAAAAAAGCAAGAGGCGTGTCTTTTGGGGTGGAGGGACAGAAGGAGGGTACCAAAATAAGAGTATCAATTGTTTGTAACTTAAATAGAATTTTACACTGCCACTGGAGCAACGCAGTCAGTTGCCAACATTTACCATCAACAATCGATTATCCAGTGGTCCACTACCACACTACAACGTTCTCATCACATTACCAATATTTACAATATCAAACTCATATTTAAAGAATAAAGCAAAAGCATTATATATTTTTAAATTTTGATACTCCATAATATTTTACTTCTATCCAGATACATTTATTTATTGATAATGACTATTCCATTCTTTTATTTTTATTTTTTGAAAAAAGGAGAAAAGAAAACAAACAAGTTACAAGTGTGATAGGAAAAAAGGCCATCCACAACCGACTCAACTCCTTGGAAGGGTCGGCCGTACACTGTCGCCCTGTGACTATCAGTTTAGTAGCCCCTCTCTATCTCTCTATCTCTCTCCAACTAACCGTTAAACGCTTTATCTAATCTCGCCGGCGGGAACCACTAAACTCCCGGAGAAAGGTTCATTAAAATTACAGTATAAATCGCCCGGTAAAACCGCGATTTCATTGAAAGAGAGATCGGCGACCGTTGGCGTCTCACTATCTTTCATTTATATATTTCCTTCTCTCGCATTAAATTCCACCGCTCCTCTTCTTCTTCTTCTTTCTCTCTCTATTTCATCAAAGCTTGGGGTCTAGACGCCAAGGGACATTCTCCGTAGCTGTTAGCTAAAGGTACATCCGTTTTCTTTTTGTTCAAAGCGATTGATAATAATTTGAAGCTTTTTTGAGTTCTCTTTTAGCTTTTGGCCCCTTTTGATCTGGAAAAATGGTGGGTTCGATTCTATTTTTAGGTTTAATTTAATTTTTAAACCTAAAAATTATTCTCTTCTTCTCTTTTTTTGGGGTTGATTTTTATCTTTCTTTCTTGAATTCTGGATGCAGTAAATGAAGTTTTCCTGACTGATGGCTGTTGCTGGCTTGCGTAACGTTCCTGCATTTGATTATTCTGTTCTTGATCAATCTCAGCCACCATTGGCAAGGCTATGGGGTGAAAGAGAAAGGTCAGGGGCTAGGGCTTCCACTCTTCTTCAAATGTGGAGGGAGATTGAGCATATGGGGAGTAACACCATCACCAGATCTAGAGATGGACATGTGAAGCAAGGGAATGAGAGTGAAATTTGCAATGCGAATGAGTCTATTGATCTTGCCGAGATAGAGAGGGGAAAAGTCAGGCAAGTTTTTCAAGAGTGGATGTGTAATGGTGTACAGATCAATGCGCTGAGCACATCACCGGTCAGTGGGCATTTAAGGGATGGATGTGTTGAAAATGGAGAATGGAAGGGAAGCAAAGGCTTACAAAGACTGTGTGGCAGACAGGCTATTGTTGATTTACTGCTAAAGGCTCAGATGCAACGGAAAAGAGAACTTCAATGTTTGTCAGAGGCTCGGCCGGTATCAGGTTTCGCTCATCGCAAGCGTATCGAGGTTTGTTACCTCTGTAGTCTGCTAAGTGCTATGGATGAATGATTAAAATGATTTTTAAGTGATAAAAATGCTTTATACTAATGTTTGGATTGCTTAGACTATTGTCTTTTGTTGTTAGATACAGTCAACCCATTTGGATTTGTTGTTGATGCTTAATTCTTTGCAGTCACTGCTTAAAGGTAGATTCCTGCTCGAGGAAAGATTGATCTGGGGTGAAAGGCGTAATTCACTTGAAACAATTGAACTAGGCCTTCTGAGACAGAGACAAACTGTATCCTGTTTAAGGTAAACCAAGATCCATATGCTTATTCCTCTAGCGGTCAATATATTACTCTCTCTGCTCCCAAATAGTTTATACCTTCTCAATATTAATGAAACATTCTAAAGATACAACTGTTTATGAACAGAGATAGTAATTACATGAATAGAAGATTTGAGATTTTATGTGTAAAGTCGTATTGGCGGTCATATCCATGAGCGAAGAAGCTTAAATGCTACCATTTATTTGAACTTTAGTAATTAAACATCTAGAAAACATAAAGACACTTAAAAGTCTGTGGCATTTACCATTAGTAATAGAGAACTGGAGTGCCATTTAATAAGGGAATATGTTCTCATTTTATGTGTTTGAGCTTCAGATATTTTGTCTGCTATCCCTAGTATCTGGCATTCCTTCCTGGTTATGACTCACCCCAACATATGAGAAATTCAATTTTTGAAACAGGGAAGAATTTTTGTCAAGACTGGACCGTAATTGTCATAGTCACATCTTTTATTCCCAATCCAAGGAGTTTTCTGATGTTGAACATAATGCTCCTGGAAATTTTCCTTGTTCAACCACTGAACAAGAGGATGCCAATGATTTGCACAAACAATCTGAGCTTTCATATGATGGCAGAGAGATCAATATATCTCATATGCTGGAGAATGTAGAGGAGACGGTTGGGGTTATGATACAACCTGCAACTTTTGGCCAAACTGTGGAAACATCAGAGGAACACTTGGAATGTGAAAGTTCACAGTTTTCTGTGGGAATAGAGGATGGTGAAGGTCAACAACCAGAAGATCACGAAGCTTTAGGTGAGCATCATGACCACAATGACGAGTCAAATGATCTTCAAGAAGTGTATGGTGGGGTGGATAATTGGCAAGAAAATCGCATTGACAGTTTTGACTGGCAAGGCAATGTTTATAACACCGAACTTAGAGAACTCCTCAGCAGGTATTATTTATCTCGCCTTAATATGTTCTTATTTAATGGGTTATGATAAATTAAACGTATGGAGTTCATTTGGTGATGCAGGAGAAGTGTTTCTAATATACTTCAAAGTGGGTTCCGTGAGCGGCTAGAGCTGCTGGTGAACTCTTATGTTGAGAGGCAAGGACAGACTTCTTTTGACTCGGAGATGGACCAAGATCACCATGAGGGAGACGAGAATGACAATGAGAATGAGGATGATGTTAACGTAAATGAAATGGAAAGAAATTACTTTCTTCTAACTTCTTCTCAAGATTCTCTTTCTCTGCCTCTTTGGGATGAGGAGCCAACAAACTCAAATATTCTTTGCTTTAACCTTCCTTCGTGTCCAGAAATGGTGAGTTCATTTCCTCAATTCTTCTTGATTTGAAATGCTTTATTGCTGTCGTTTTGTTCACTTTTATTTTATTGCTTGTTACTTATGAGTAGTATGTTCTTATCTTATTACCAAACCAAACCAGACCAGATACATTCGGATCACAAAGATTCTAATCAGGCCAGACTATTCTTACTTTTCAAACAATAAAAGTGGACAGAAACAAACACATTCAGACCTGATTAGGCCATACATGGTCAAACCAGAAACATTTAGACCTGATTAGACCAGAACATAAAGATCAAACCAGACTAGACTAGTTTTTTTTCACATTTGCATTATACACCCACACAGGGAACCTCTAATCCTACGCCAAATCTTACACTCGTCAAATCCTCCGCTCAGATTGTTTTCACTCAAAGCTAACCGTATGATTGAAAGTTAGTACAACATGGATCACCCTTGTAAATTTTCACAACGATCCAACAGTTGGGCTCGCCGTGAGTCATACAACTTACTCTCTCTGTCCCATATCTTTCTTCCTATTTTCCTTTTTGGGCCATCCCATATCTTTCTTTTCATTTCCTTATTTAGCAATTAAATTGTACCAAAAAGACTAATTTACCCTTCTTCCTTTTTCTTCTTCTTGTTCGCTCACTGCCCCTCCCAGACCTAGCTGTGCACCTCTCAAATGCACGCAGAAATCTAGGTGTAGCCGGAGACCCGTCGGAGCACGACATGGTGTTGTCCAGTAAACCTCGTAGCATATTTGAGGTTTGAGTGAGCTAACTCATCGACCCAGATTTTCTCTGCATTTTCTTGATGAGATCTTGATTTCCCTTCTCCTTAACCTCAATAAACCTCATTGCAGTAGGGAGTAGCCCATGGTGGCCCCGGCCCGGCCTCATGGATTTGCCTTTTCTGCTTGGATTTTCCATTTTGGATTTACCTTAGGTTGAAGAATCTCAAGCAGCTTTACTTGGATTTGCCTTTTCAGCTTCAAACCTCTTCTCCTGTAAGCCTTTTGGAGTATCTCGCCTCTCTCACTCCTCTTGTCACTGGCGTTCGGTAAAGGAAGCACTTGAGGGGCACCGACGTGAAGTGGGGATGAGACTGGATAGAGGGTAAGGGCTTTTAGGAAAGTCAAATACATTGACCAAATGACCACTTACCTAAATAATTTTGCAAGTCAAAATGGGAAGAAACTAGTTGGACAGAGTGTTTTTTTAACATTTTATCACGTTGATTTTAAGTTGTATGATTCAATCCAACTGTCGGTTTTGACCGTTGAAAGATAAAATTGGTGTAAGATTAGAAATTTTCATACATACAGATTCCGACACACACACACACACACGCTCCCTCCGCCCTGCAATAGATTACATTTTTTTTACTCCAATCTTTTGATAACCTTGGTTTCTTTGTATGTTTCCATTGATTACTTGATAAAATAACATATTCTTGTAACATATTGTTTTGTAGAACTTTTGACTTAGTTTTTTAATAAGTTGTATTTTTGTATTTCTATACCAATTTGTAAAAAAATTTTAAAAAAACACAAGATTTTACCTCGTAATAAAATTGTAACCAATTTTGGGACAGAGGGAGTATTATATATTTGTGTGTGTGTGTGTTTCCGTACAGTACAATGATAAAAAACATTAATTCTAGCTATACGTGTCCATTGCTGGTGGAGCTAAAAGAGTCACTATTGAGTATTGAGTATTGACAAAAAAAGGTATTTGCTTTTTACAAGGGTAATAATGCATACATATTGACACTGACTCCACATACCTCAACGGAGTTGGGGTTATACTGAATTTTGTAGTTGTATTATTTCTGGCTATACTTTCAAACATATTTCTTGATTTAACTAAATTGAAAATACTTAAGTTGAGACATTTATTTTGTAAAAAAATACATTTATGTAATAAAAATGACACAATAAATGTTCTTGCTTCTTCTATGAAGTTTTGGGTAGTAAATGCAGTGATGCATCAAGGTTCTACCAAAAGTCAATATGCTTCTTCTATGAAGTTTTGGCGTTTATGGCGCTGTGGCGAGGCTATAGCGCCTGAATTGGGCTGTGCATGGCGATGTCCTTGAGGCGAGGAATGGCGATCGCCATTTTCGATGCTAATTATGGCGTATGGCGTTCGCAATTGACGCAATTAAGTTGTGGGTCAATATTTTCAATGTCCAGACTTCATCCAAAGGAGCAATTAAATTGGGCTTGAGCCCGTTTCTAATTAAAGATCTGCAATTACCTCTTCCCGTAACCTGATCGTTGTTCCAGGCTTCCAGTCATAACTCGATCATCTCTTCCACTCGATTCAGCAGCGAATCTGCTCCCAGTCTTCTATCACAGCAGCAGGTCGCAGCTTCCAGCGGCTATTTCTCAGTCAATTTCCTCCAAGTGGTGTCGGCAGTCAACTAGGTCACTTTTCAATTCTTATTAGCTTTTTTAATTTGTGTTTTATACTTTTATTTTAAATTTTTGTATTATATTTTTAACTTTTGTATTATCGAGTATATGATAAATATGGAAAAATAATTTATGTTTTATTCTTCGAATTTAACTTAGCAACTTATTGTTTTTGTTTTCCTTTGAGATTTATATATTGTTTAAAACTTTATGATATGCCATGCACAATTTGTTTGTTTGTGTGTGTGTATATGCACACACACACACATATATATGTGTGTGTGCATACATACTCGCTTTTTTTTGTTCGCCATTTGACCGCCCGCCACTCGCCACGCCACTCGCCACAAAAAAGGTCCTCTCGCCCGCCACTCGCCTTTCATAACTATGGTAGGACTCATTTTTTGGATAAAGTTTATGAATTGGACTCTTTCTTTTGCGGAGGGTGTATAATGTACTCTACTTATGAGAAATTAATCCTAAATGAAGCTTAAACTTAGTTAACAGAAGAAAATTTTGCCACTTTGCAGGAGTGGCAAATCATCAACGAGTTAAGGATTGACATTGGTAGGCTTCAACAGCAGATGAATAATATGCAAAGGATGCTAGAAACATGCATGGACATGCACATTGAATTGCAGCAATCAGTACAACATGAAGTTTCTGCAGCTTTACACCGAGAGTCTGTTTCAAAAGGTGGATAAGAAAATAAACTTTTTTCTCTTGCTTTACTTTCGAACAAGAAAAGTTCTTTATTTTCTAAATTTGATTTCATTTTAAATTTCTGCTTTCTACTTGAATTTCTTGTTTTTAAATTATTTCTACAGTTTTCTAAATCTGTTTTTTAATAAAATGCATTATGAATGGTGTCATTTGATCAGATACATGTGAGGACAGTCTTTTGAATAAAGAATCTAAGTGGGATAGCGTGAGTAAGGGAATTTGTTGCTTGTGTAGTACAAGGAGAATTGATTCGTTGCTATACAGGTAAGGAATCATAGTTCTTGTTATTCTATTAGTCCTTGGTCATTGTTTGGAATGTCGTGGAATTCATAGAAATGATATGTGATGCCCATTTTCAGGATTTGTAAATCTCGGAAATCAATAATTAAATTCCAGGTTTTGGTCAAATCCTGACACGGGGCACTCCATGCCTCCGAGATACAGCATGGATTTTGAATGACTCCCTGGAATTGGATGACGTCATTTTAAATAAAAATATCATCTAATTCCCCGTATTTCCATTCTCAGCAATCCAATTCTTAGTACGGTGTATTTCAATTCTGACCACCAATTATTCTAAACGCGGCTATTTATTTCCATTTTCGAAGATTTCTATGTGCTCTAATGTTTTTTTCTTCTATAGGTGTGGACACATGTGCACATGTCTAAAATGTTCAGAAAAATTGGTCCAAGGGAAAGGGAATTGCCCAATGTGTCAGGCCCCAGTAGCTGAGCTGATACGATTGTCCTCTTTACATTAATTAAGATAAGTAAATGAAGCCAATGATAAGGAAAAGCTCTAATTGCCGCTGCCCATCCTGGTCACTGTCAAAGTAAATTCTTCCAATGAAAGCTATAATTCGCATCCTTTTACTGGTAAACGGCAAAGTGGTATAAGCTAATGAATGGGAAGTGATCTGATCTTTGTTAACTGTCAAAGTAAATTAAGGCAATACTAGGTAAATTTTTTTGGTAGAGTGAAAACCAGGTAAGTGCTACACTTCTCAATCAGTTTCCCTACTCCTGTAGAATTGTGGTATATTCAAACGCAGTGTCGTTGATGGCTACAAACATGATGCGTAATGGCGTGTAAATGCCATCTCATTGTTTGTGGAGACGTTCTCGTATTTGGCTAATTAGAGTAGCCATTGAAGTAGCTTTGATTAGATTGCAAATGCTATCTCCTACGAGTGTAAAGGTAGCTCTCTTCAAGTGTCTGCCCTTTGCAGTGCACAATGAACTAGAGTGGTCTTTTCGTTAAACCTCATTGACACCTTTGTTTGAGTCACATGGATATCAGAGTCAATTAATGCATGGTTGTACATAGAGACAAGCTTACTACTTTTCAATTTATGGATGTCTCATTCAAACACAACGACGTCTTTCAGGATTCAATGTCAGTGATTTCAGAGACACTGCAAATTCATCAATTTCATTGACACTGAATTCATAAAAGGATGACATTCTGATTTAGTGTGACATTCATTAAAAAAATGTCAGGCTTGTCTTTGTGTCTGGAAAAGCATTCCATTTGATTTCCTGAGATGTGAGTTCATCACATGAAGCAAAGGACTGATACCCAAAGAGGAAACTACCCTTACCCAAGTGGAGATGATGTTTGCAGTCTTATCAAAGCTGCTTCAAAAGGAAGCTGTAATAGTCTGTACAAGAGCGTTCCCACTAACAGTGAGGCGGTGCGATTGTGGAAGCCATGCCATGCCGGTCACTGTCACCACTCACCATCAAAGGCTTTGAATTTCAATTCAGTAGTGAGAAATTGAGCAGAAAGTGTTGGCTGTACCTGGCTCTCACTCAGGGCACACACACACACTATGTAATACACTTTCTCCATTACATAGGGAACTTGGTTGTATTGATGGATTGGTCGATGTAACCATACTAGATTGTATGAGGTTTCTTTTGAACTGATTTTTGACATAGCTTACAAACGAATCAAAGGTATTATAATGGCTTGCAACAGTTCAGTGCACATCAATGAGATAAGGGTACATTCTTGTGAAGATACATTGTGTAGTCAAAGGGAGAAGAGTTAGAATCATGAATTATGTATATGCATTGAAAATGTTGCAACTCAAAGCAGTTTGAGGCAGATTTATGGTATGTGTTTCTATAAATGTGATGATTGTGTTGGATTTATAAGAATTTTTGAATGGATCAATCTGTGCCCTTGAGTATTTGAAAATATGGATGAATGTTGTGTGTACTATATAGTGACCTGATCTAGTCAACATCTATAAATTGGGGCTTTGATTGTGTCATGATAATGGGTCATTCTAGAGGGGAGTACACTGGCTAAAATGTCCTTTTATTTTTACCATATAGATTAAAATTGTTATTGTACTTTTGATTACCCTTTATTCAATTTGCACAATATGATGTGCCTTATAAGTGCTACCTGGTTGTTAGTGGAATGTCATAAAATGATTAAAATCTTTCCTCACTCTCTATCTTTCCCCCCCCCCCCCCTCC